GTTATTGTTACATGTTAGCACTGCATAAAATCTGGATATATATTTGAGTACAAAATGGAAACTTCCAAGGCTGAGGGACATAAATATATACCATAATTATGGTTCATCAGTGGGCTTTTGCCTTTTCAAACCTTACCTTCATGTCTGGTTTAAGGGAGTCATGGAAAATTATCAGATTCAACATATTTTACCAGTTTTGGCTTGAGAAATGTTTCCCTAGAACTGCCATCACTTTTTTTTGTTGTCGTTTCTATGAAAAAGCTCATAGTTTCATTTCATGGAAGGGCAGCACTACAATGGCAGAGGCAATGCATATTCAGGCTGAGTGGCACTAGCAGAAATGTGTATGTACATTTAAGTGTATTTGGCTTAGTGGGTGGATGAGGAGATAAATGTGCACAGCCATTGTTCATATATTTAAGATATTATATACAACTTCAGGAAAAAAGACAGGAGGTTTCCTCCTCAACTTCAGATAAATAATTTCATTAGGCTTCTGGAAACGTATGCCAAAGAGCTCACTTTTTTTTTTCTGTGTCATTTAGCTGGGTCTTGACAGTTTCTGAGCAAGTTTTATTGTTTGGCTGGGAATTATTTTAGATCTTCAATCAAAAAAAAACCTCAGGCTTACAAAATTCTCCTTGGCAACACACTGAAAACCCGGTGTCCTCTGATGCCTCTGATTCTTATGTGATCAGGGACACTAATGATAATGACCCTTTGCTGAGTATGCTACTTGTCTAGAGGCCTATGTCAACTACACCACTACATCCAGAGTGGACAGGGACAAACTATTTGTTTGCTCTTCAGGCCCCTTGGGCCCTGTCATATGCTATTTGTTCTTGCATTAAGAGGTAGTTTGACTCGGCTGGGCTGACATTTCCTTCAAGTCAGTGTATTCCACTCATGCAGTAGCAGCTACCAAAGCAATAAGTATAGACTTGAGGCTCAGCAACAATCATTTAAGTGGCTTTTTTGATTCATATCCAGGACTTTTCACATTTTTACTGGTCATTCTGAATCCAAAATGACACATTTTTTTTAAAAACTAACTTTGCTATTTGATATTCAGGCAACATAGCCTCCTCATAGTTAATGTGGCTGCTTATCAATAACATGAATCAGAACCTGCAACTGAGACGATGAACAAGGACTGATACTGCTGCATGATACCAAAGGCATTGATCAGCTCTACTTTTCTTCTCCACCTCATGAAGGATACCTGATATGTGATTACTCTCCCAGTCACAGACTTCCTTCCTTTTCCTTCCATTTCCTACTTAAATTTTACTTTTTAGTGTAACAGGATGTCCTTGTGTTCACATCTTAACTGAAGTAGGATATTTTTTTTCCTGTTGGAGTTTCAGTACAGGTAAAAACAGTCATGACAATGCTGAGTATTTTTCTGGTTAATTTGCATTCGTAGGTACTGTTGGAATTTGAAAACTTTGTTTCTGATTCATTACACTCTTCTAGTATTTTATCACTGTGATCCTGCTCATGCCATTTGATGTGATGCAGCATTCAGTTAGAACAGTGACTTCCTAAATGTGAGTCTAGACCATCTGTGATGCACACAAAGAGCATTTGTATGTCAATTGCCTATTTATATCAGTTAGTAATTTATTGTAATTTAGAGTCATTAAAAAGGTGTCATTAAAAAGATGTCTCCAATCTATCTATCCGGATCATATTTAGTAATGCAGATTTTTACTTATGTGTTAGTAAATCTCAAAAATTCCCACTCTCTGACCAGGTCAGACCACTTGTCATGAGTCCCAGGGAATCCCTGTGATACCATTTCTGTCCTCTGTTCTAATCCATCAATACAAGAAGTCATAAAGTTTTGTCTCATAGCATAATACCCTCCACCACTGTGGGAATCTAAAACCTATGCAGCATTTTCAACATTATCTTAACTGCAGGGCTGCTCAGAACGATTCAAAAGTCACAATTTGTATTTCAATTTATTAATTAATTTTTCACATATTTATTGTTTTCATACTCCAGACTTCTTGTCTTCCAGGCTCCTTCTAGATCCTCTGGATGTAAAACCACAGCTGAGAAAAAGTTTGCAAAGTAGCCAGCTATTTCTGGGCAGGTGGGACAGGGGCAAAGCTGACTTGAAAAAGGAGTTTTTAAAGCAAATTTACAAAAAAACTTCTAAAGATAAATATCGGCTACAAGACATGACAGTGCTTTAGCTGATTTACCTCTTGGGTACTTCTAGCTGACATGCACTAAAGATTTCTGGGCAGGAAAGCAAGTACCTGTCACTTTCTGTAATTTACAAGGATACGAAACAGCAGATTATACAGTCCACCATTGTTCCAGAGAAGAGAAAATAGTTTGACCATTACCAACAAATCTTAACAGAGCACTCTTCTGATTCAATCCACTTTGTCTTTTCTAGCACCTTGGACCAAAGTTAAGTCAGTGTAGATAAAGAGTAAATGAAGAGACGGCTGGGTCTGGGGAGACACTGAGGGTGCGAACACTGGGCTGGAGAATAAATTTAGCAGCAACAGAGAAGAGGAAGAAAACAATGTCTGGATTTGGAAGCCTGGCAAGTTCTCCACTCACTGCTCAACCTGTGTTTAGCAATTCTGATGTGCTACTGAGCAGACAGCTCAGGCTCAGGACGACTACTCTCCCTCAGTCCCTCTTCAGCAGGCAATGAAAGCAGGCTGTACTTTGAAAATCTTCCCCCATCATGCAAACTGACACAGGCATGCTTTTCAAAAACCCACAGCCAATCTGTTGATCATTACTTATTTACAAAGGCCTTCGGGCAGAAAGTCCTGTAAAAACCATACTTGATACGGTATACACTAGCTTTTTCTGCTTGTGGAAAAAAGTACCCCTAAGGCTACCTCAAACCATCACTTTCTATTGCACATAAAATGTACCGTGTAACACTAAAGTATTTAATATATATGGTATAATATATCTACAGGAAAGGCATTTGTGTAGAAGTATGTTACCCTGTATTTGGTAATTTGATGTTTTGCTGAAGGCTATGACTTGAAAAAGCCTGCACCTAGTACAGAGGACCTGTCATCTCAGTACCCAAGAGCCAATAGAATAAAGAAGTACCCTTAAGCAGCAAAACTTTGACACAGCTTTGAAGCATATGAAAACAGTACAACTCCCCAGAATTATTATTACTCAAGATCAAAGAAATGAGGCATACTTTACATAGCAAACAGGGACAGTGTGTTCAGCTCCTTCTTTCTTTCTCTCTCTCTCCCCCTTCTCTTTCTTTTTACTTCTACTTCCCCAAAATTAGAATCTGGGAGAAGGGGGGCGGGGGGGGGGTGGGGGGAATCTCCACATGTTTAAATTTTAAGCAGTTAAAACAATTAGCACCAGATAAGAGGACTGTCCAAAGGTAAGTAAATTGAAAACTATGCTAGCATGACAACTGGCACTATAAAAATGAGAAGTTTGCCAGTATGCTCATTTTATTCTTCCTCATAAACTGTAAACAAGCATGTAAATCAGTGTCGTTTGGGAAAGGCTGAGCTAACAGGAAGGCAGAGAACTTTTAATGACACATTCTACAGAAATAGATGGTCAATAAGGAAAAAAAAAAAGCCACAGCTGGGTGCATTCTCCCTCTGTGAATCAATCTCACTTTTGGTTCTGTAGTCTAAACAGAGATGAAGACGATTTGTGGAAGTTACGTCCTTGAATATGCCCTATATTGCAGAAACAATAAACAAATATGGATGCTTCTGTAACTGCCCAAAGAAAATTCCAGTCTAGTGACTGAAATACAAAGAGAAATATCATCTACCTGTATCCAGAATTGTTACAGGAACAAAATCATCGTCAATAATAAAAATCACAAGAGATTTTATTTATGGAAAGAACTAGATATTTGTATCAATTTTTTTTCACTTAGCCTCTGTGAGCAGACACAGTTATACACAACCAAATCTCAAATTCCACAAATGTGTCTGTTTATATATGCAAACAAGTTTACATTTTTCTGTGTATGTGTACATACATATAGAGATAGAGTGGAAAATCTCTGCTATGGTATTTATGGATACAATAATGGACTGAGGGTCTAGCCTGAGTACAGAGGATATGCAAAAACAGAGCAGGAACAGCCTTGTTGGAAACTCTGTGCCTACTACAGGATCCAATTTTGACTGAGTTGAGCAGGTAAAAGGCAAAGCACAGTGAGATAGAATGCAAATCACATAATACTTTAATAGATTACAATTTCTTGTTGCAGTTCTAGTTTTAACAAATCTCTTAGAGGTAATTTGTCCTATAAAAGGAAACTACATAGTTATACAAAGGAGTACTATCATAAAATAATGTACACATAGCAACAGGGGAAAATATAGCTAATAAGATGCTGTTTTCATCACCCACTTTTAGAGTATATACTACCCTCTTAAAAATCCCTGTATTTCATAATTAATGTGCTTTTAGCTTGACTAAAACAGCGTTAGTTTTGAACTTTGCTTTGGCAAGTACATATATTATTAGACTTTTTCATCAGTCTAAATCAATTAACAGAAATTTGATTTCAATCGACAGGATAAAAGGAAGGTAATATTCAGGTTCATTTTTGATTGTGATGATACATCTCACATATGGCCTTAAGTACAGAAAACAGTACTCAGAGGGAATCCAACAAAAAGAGAATTGCCTGAGGCAAACTAACCACATGAGTTCCCCTGATTGGTTAGTGCTATCATTAGTGCCACTGCTGTTTAAGAACTACACATGGACAGGACAGGGTGACAGCTAAGACTTTAAAGCCTATGTATTTTTCAAACAGCTTTTCAAACTGTTTTTCATGACAGAATTTTTTTTCAGCTCTATCATTAACTGCTGACAAGCTGACAGAATAAATACTTCAGCCTTTCAGAAACCATCTAACAATCTTTTTTTTCACCCCCTCCCCTTATTTTTGATGTGGGGGGAGGAGAGAAGGAAGGAAGAAAGGAGATGAAGATATGAGTTTCTTAGAGTCTTACCTCATCAGTTTGGGTGAGGAGTTGGGTGAATTTCGCATGCCTCCATTTCGTTGCTTTTTTTTGGGTGATAGTGTCGACGGCTGCTCATCTTCAACTGGAAATATAAGGAACTCATGAGATTAAGTACTGCTCTGAGTGCAATATGAAATACAAGTGAAGTAGCAAAGAACACACACTCTATGTCCATTCACGCACTGATACTTCATTGCTAACATAGGCCAACAGTAATAAAAATCAAATACATGTTAGTCAAAGAGATTGGTTTGAAGGAGAAGCAGAGAAGAATACCAGGGTTTTGAACACAGGTGTTCAAATTGGTTTCATACTTCCAAAAACAAAGGCGGAGGGACCACATTCGGGTTATTCTTAGAGTTATTATCAGTTAATCTGCGCTACAGAAAAATAGAATTAGTGCTCTGCTGTATTCCCAGACAGATAAAGTACTATTTTCAATATCAACATAACAGCTGCCAGCCTGCTTTTGCTAATGAACTAGACACCAGTTGTTTCTTGCTCCTCACATGCCAAACAACAGAGTCTTCATGAAGAGATGTAAAATATTCAATGCCTTGATGTTCAATGATTCAGTTAGTCGGGAATGTGAATGCAGCCTGCCATTGTGCGCAGATCTCCAGCACAAGTCAGACCTCATCGCTCTACTCTCCTCCCAAAACGGAGTTTTAACAGGAGTGAACAGAATGAGGTTGAATGGAAGCAGGGAGACAATACCTGTATAACAGAGAATGCATGTGTTATGCAATCTTTTAATGAGGATGATGTGCATTTTCAAGGACAGATTGATTTCCAGATAGAAAATCACTTATTGTTTTGTCAGTCATAAACTACTCTTGGATAACTTATGTCACAATATGTACTGTTTAAACAAGTGCAGAGTCCTAAGAACTCATCTATTAGAATTAGCCACCATCTTTGCTGTTTTGAGATTGTAACAGCACTTGATAATCTGTATGTAACTTTTACATGTACTATCAAAGGGAATAAATTCATGCCTTCTTTCTCAGGTTCATACTAATGCTAATTTATTCTGATACAAAGAAAAAATAAATAAACTTTTTCCCATCCTACTGTTAACTGAAAAATTAATTAGAAGATAATATAACTGATGCCTAGGAAGCTTTTACTTTAAAGCTAAAATGAAAGACATTAGTAGTAGTAGTAGTAGAAGTAGCTGCTATATTTAAACAGCTTAGTACACATTAGCAGTGCACAAGCAGAAGTTGAGAAAAAAAAGTACTACTTGCAATAAGATACATAAGAAAACCAACAAAACTGGGATATATGTCGCCTGCCCCAGACTTATCTGTGAATAAATGAAGCAACAGCCTTTTGCTAGAACCCTCTTCTGACACTATTTTATTACAGACTGCGTCCCAGCCTGCCACCTCTATCTCTCTGCCCAAGTCTGCTATGGAACATTTTGCCTTGGTTAAGACCAAAGGGCTGGGCCCTGAAAAGACAGATTTTCCTCTCTTTTTAGATGACCTGGCATCACCTAGCACAAGGGAGCCACAACTAAAAGAAAGCATTGCAAAGAGAAAAAAACAAACCATAGCAACCAAACAAAGCTATTCCTAAAATAAACGTGCCAAAGAGTGGTGTAAAAGATAATACTTAGATCAGAACAATGAGTGTCTAATAATGATTTATTCACTAAGTTTCTTCTCTTCTTGGGCAGCACCCCTAAAGACAAAGGAATTTTCTTCTCATTTGACTTTTCTTTCTTTTTCCAAATCAAAGTCCTATGGTGTAAATGCTTATTGATGGTTAGTCAAATGCCTCTCAGTCAAATTTGGCTGAGAAATAAATAAGCCTACAGAAATTCTCAAAAAATACACAAACTGACATTTTCTTTCTGTGGTAGTTTGCACACATTAAACAAGATCACTTCAGTATTTAGCTATGTCTACCATGAAGTGAACATGCATAGAATTGGCTTTTATGGTAATATCTTTGCAGTTCTAACTGCAAAAAAGCACAAGTCTTTGCACTTTTCAGAACACCCTCTTCAAATTATTCTCTTGAAAATGGCCTAGTCTTGTTTTACGCTTCTCTACCAGAAAGTTATTTGCATGCTATTCCACACAGACAATAGCTTTCAAGATATCCACTGTGCTCTCTTGTTCTTTATTGGATAAAAATATTCAGTTCCACCACTTAAAAGATCAAATGAACAAGAATCATGCAAATGTTCCTTCCAGAAAACAACAAATTATCTATTTTGCTCTCTTGGGTGTAAAAATTCTAGATTTCACTCAAATTAATCTGTTACCATAGGGTTACAAAATGTTTGACCAGAGATGCAGTACGGCACCACAAGTGTGTTGTTATACAGTTTTAGCAGTTCAAGGAAGATACACATCCATCAGAATCATAGGCAAAAATCTTACAGTAACACAAGTCAACTGCAGATAATATTAGAACCAGAAATCTTTCTCTGCACAAGAGAAAATAATATTAAAAATAGTATTTTTCCAAGTTTTCAGCTAGCTAATAAGACTCCTGTCTGATCCTTTCAAATTCCGAAAGTTAATACAATAAGGACGTTTTTGTACTATATGGTCCAACATTTGTGTCCTGCAGTGCTGCCAGGTGATGCTAACCTGCTGCCCAATGAAAATCAAAGTCTTACTTTGTAATCATCCAAAATAACAACTTCTAGAAGGACATTTCTAGCAGTCTGCACAGGTACTGCATCTGCCATAAATAAGCTTCCTTCCTGGATATGTGCTTGTCATATTCAAATTATGCTACTGTCACCAGTTGCCTGCAAAGCCCAAGGTTGGCATGGCTCACTAGTTAATACCTGTTAGCAAAGCCTTCTGAGGGATCTCAATTTGTTGCTTAACCAAGAAAGCCATTTATTCTCATTGTAGCAATGGAAGTAAATCTATATTAATCATATGACAGAAAATCAAGTTTTATTTTTCATATTGAAATCTCTGCACAGAGTTTACAGGGCATCTGCAGTTTAGCAACACAGCTCCATAGGAATGGGGGAAGGGAACTCATGAAGTTGAAATATGTGAATAGTATCTACTGGACACTATTACCTATGGTTTGGTTCCCAAAAATGTCACAGTGATAACTCACAAGTGGTTTCTTAGTAGTTAGTAGGATATAAAACATATTTAATTATTATCCTTCAGATACTCCTATCAATTTCCTGCCAATTTAAAGAAGCGAATCTAGCAAAATTTTTAGTAAAGTTATTAAATATTTTAGTTTCTGCATTAATTTAAAAGGGAGTCTTAAATTCACTTGTTCTTATGAAAGACAAACATATTTGCATAATGGGGCTATGATATATGACAAATAAATTCTGATATTGTATGTTTACTTTGGTTAATGAGTCCCCATTTTTTATACTACAGGATTTGTGTTAACTACAGCCATATTATGTTAGCAGACTTTTTTTACCGCTTTCATAAAAATTGGAAGTAAGTTCAAGAATTGGACACAGAGTTTTATAGATTTGGAACTGAATTCAGCCTCTGAGTTCTAATAACATTCAAGAGCTTGTTTGCACATCCCTAAGTATAACACTTATTGTACTGCTGTAACAACCCGGAGCTCACTTGTCGAATAACACTTTTGCAGTTCAGGAAGACTCAATGCTAAAAAAATGTCAGGCGAGTCTAATGAGGCTTCAGAAACTCAGTTTTATGCTAGAGTTTAATTTAAAGTTACACTGATGTTTTAACATGTTTGCTTATTCTTGAGTAAAGAGTGTTCATTATTTCAATGACATAACCTCCAGACAATGTTCCATGAATTGGTTTAAGATGTGCTGGTAATTTTAACAGCCTTAATGTGGAGTTGAACATCTGTAACAACATATTACTTGACTTTTATCCTCATTTCATTTTTAAAGCAAAACAAAGGGAAATTCTTCCAAAACAGTGGACAAGTTCATAACTTTTTTCGTTACTTTCTCACCATCTTTAAAACAACACTGTCTCCTTCACTGCCTCTCCCAGGTCACTAGCTGAACTAGTTTACAGATGCTTTTTTAGACACCAAAAAGAGCTGAAATTTGAAATAACATCCATGTTACTGAACATCACATGTACTGGGATACCTGGTAAGTTCATTCTGCCTAGCATGTAAATGCTTCAAAGCAATTAAATCCTTTGAAAGGTAAAGCACAAACCACCCAGAAACATTAGTTGACTAGCTATCTCGATTAACTTATTAATCACCACATCTGGAGAAACCCACATCTGTAAGCACTTAACAGAGCATTAGTAATGTCATAGTCACATTGAAAACAGACTGCAAAACCATGCACAAACCATTCTGTATTGCCTTATGCATCCAACTACTGGGCTACCTACGGAGATCTTGGTTCAACCCAGGCTTTTGGGAATGGTAGCGGTATTTTACAGGCAAGCTGAGTGCCCTTTGCAATCTACAGTAGGTAGATTTTCCTTGTTCAACAGAACTCAGTAAGTTAAGGTGCAGCAGCGAGGGGTTGTTGGGTAGGAAGAGGCTCCCTTTACGGTTATTAACAAGTGGAACAGGTTCCAGGATTCCTTCAGTGGACTTGGCATCAATCAATGCATTAGTAGTTGCATTCTTGAACTGATATGAACATTTTGGGTAACTTGATCTAGCTGCATTCTTTACTTCTAAATAATAAGAAAAAATTTAAATTAATTTCTTTGTATTAAAAATTATTTCAAACCACAGGCATGAATCAATTTTGATACTATGTGGAAATACAGTCTTAATGTATCAGTATAAAGCTTAATGTATCAGTTCCAACAGCAGAAATAAAGGTTTATACCTGCAGCTTTCTTATGTTTTTTTTCCCCTCTAAAAATGACTCTTTATAAAATAATACTTATAGAAGGATTATTCAACAAAATTATCACCTTTAAGCAATAATCCCATCCTAGGGTAAGTATGTCTGAGGTAATACTTATTTCCCCATGTTGATAAGGGCTTTGAGATTTACTGTCTGTGGAAGATGTTTATTTCTTTGAAACTACTGAAAATGACAGGGGAGGTAAAGCACTCTGCTGCTATTAAAATAAAAAAGGAATCATAGAAAACATAAGGTCACCACTTCAAAATTGTGCAAGCCTACTTATGGAATTAAACAGATTTTAAGGACCCCACATAAAAATTGTTGAGCATTCAACAGTGCTGCATACTGTAAATTTCAGGAGGTCATACATAGTACCTCTGAAAAGAAAGTTAAGAAATTCAATTTCCTAAATATGGATTTAGCTTAAAATTGTGATTCTTTGTCTTCCACTGCTAATATATCAAGGCTATTTAAACACTACCCCATCTACTAATACCTCTAACAAATGGCAAGCTCAGTAAAAAACAACAAAATATTTTTCTGATAAAAACACACAATAAAGATCTCCTAATGCTTGTTTCATTCTGAAAGTATAGTATAGAGAGTATAGCATAGAGAAGACGGTATATAAGTGAGCTGCTAAGACCTTATATTTGGTTACATATAATGAAGTAAGAAGTTTAGGTAGAGAGTACTTGGTGGACTGATAAACTTGCAGCATTATTTCCGTGTTTCAATTGCCCTAAAGATTCTACGGAGAACACTGAGCAGAGAGTAAAGGCAAACTATTTGAGGAGGTCAGCATGTTTTTTGGGATCTTACTTTAGTTTACCACCAGCTAGAAACACCATCTGGTAACAGGAAAGATAAGAAAATAGCATTCCCATGCTTGCCATTTTTCTTCAAGCACAAAATCTGTCTCTCTCCCAGAAAAGGTGAGTGTATAGGAATTAAAAGAGTCATTTGAAGGTACCTTTTAACAAGGTTGAACTGGTTGGTGGCAAAGCACCCATTCCAAATCTATGACTTTTTGATGGCTTGCTACTATTCTGAGGTAGATTGAAAAATTAGTGAGGAAAGAACTGAAGTCTACTTTATTATACTATTCTGATTTTTATTAATAGAAGTAACATTTGAAGTATAATAATAATAATAATAATAATAATAATAATAATAATAGATACTCACCAGAGTTCACGTGTATTTTAAATCATCAGAGGAGAGCATATATCTTTGATTAGCAATAATGCCACAAAAATAAAATATACTGTATAAAATATTGAATACACTACCTGAAAATTATCAATTTTACCTCAGTTAAATTATCAATTTTACCTCAGGTTTTTTATCAGATTTTGTACTTCTACTTTTGATATTCCTCCAAGTGTAATAATTTTCAGCTGATAAAATATATCTGCAGAGAACTATCTCCCTACACATGTCACTGGTCAAGCATGTATTTGAAGGCTTTGATATGCATCAACTCAGTTCTATTTTTAAAGTGCAGGTAATAATACTGGAAATAATCTTTAGAAATCCACATCCTATATCAAAGTATCTTCACATGAAATGGAAGAAAACCAGAATCTATTAAGCTTATCAATCCTTTAATCAAGTTGTAAGAAACACCATAATCTTTTTACAGTCTCTTCTGGAGTTCAATAAGTGATGGTTTCAGATACCAGACCTGACTATTAAGCAATAACCTTCCACAGCAGTGCATGTCTCATGGCATATTCCATGCAGACAAATTCAAGCTTTCCCAAGATTTTGTGCTTGCGGTGGCACAGCATGTGTCGGAACAAAAATACTTGTCTTTTGGTATGGCTTCATATCTGGAGCTTGGCATCATATTTAATAGCACCACATGATCTTTTTCAGCAGGAAGGCAGACTGAGCTGCTTAAAACCTAAGTTACTTCCCCTTACTTCCAGTACCATTGTGGACAGGTACTATCACTGACCATGGGCATAACAAGGTGCCCATTTTTTGGGGTCAAATTATTGCAGATTTAAAAGTTCTAACTACTGGTTTCATCCCATGACTTCTAGCTTCCTGCCTTAAGAGCTTAGATCAAAGTGGAAGAAGCCCCACAGTGAACAAGTCATTAAATTCTTTGTACATAGGACAATTTTCTTTCTTAGTCCAACAATTTATGGCCCAAGTCTTTTTACTCAATCCTCAAAAGCAAGGATTACAGAATAATATATCCAAATTATCTATCTTTGGGAGAGATAATATTCTCTTTCTCCATCCTCCTAAAATTACACATATTTTTTTACTGAAGAAGAGTGAAACTGGTTACTCTTAGTGTAAATAGCCCGTCAAGCTGTAGGTGCACGTTGTACCACACACACGGGGCTGTCAGGATACACCCTGAACTACATGAGCAAGCACAGAGCTTTTGCATGAAGCAGTTCTGTACAACTGGGTGAGAAACACAGGTCAACTTCAGCAGATACAGACTACAGTGTGCAGAACCTAAACCACTTATGGAGCATTCCCCTGTTCAGCAAAGACAGTTGATTTTTGTTAATAATTTCTTTAAAATCCGATTGGGTTCTTGCACTGTTATGTGGGCTGATTTCCATAGAAAACATATTTGGGAAACAAAGATTGCTCTTGATTCTATGGAACTAAATACATCCTTACATATTGTCACTGCCTCACTAGGTTTGGCAATCAAACTGGATTGGGGCAATTTGTCGTACTACTATGCAACATCAAATCACAACCTCCAAATCCACCAGGGTTCTTTTCCAAGTACAGGATGAGTTTAGCACCACCAGGACTATTTTTCTAGTCATAGTAAGATTAGTTTTGATTTTATGCGTCATGACATATGACTTTATTTCCAATGCAAACAGTCACAGGCCTGCATTGTTTACACTGCCTAAGTTCCTTAGAACTGTTCAGTATATTGTCATGTATCCATAAGGCATTATTATTACCTAAGAATATTTTGAGAGCCATTTTGAGAGCAAATTTTAAACTACTTTTTGAGAATGGCAAACAGTAAGGAACAGGATAAAAGTAGAGTGAGGGTAAGAAATTCCATTTTCTGTAGTATTTTCTAATTGCACCCTGGGTAAACACTATCTACTTTTAATAAATGCTGTACAGAATTTGCTCAAGAAGCCTGTCACCATTAGAGAGATAAAAAATGATATGTATAAAATGTGATATATTAATGCAATCGTAAAGGTATTTTGAAGTTGCATATATTCCTATTCCTTACCCCCACCCTCAGGAACTCCCTTTCAAGCTCAATGAATATACACTTGCCTACAGACTGCGTTAGGGAATCATGCCTGTTTCTATTTCTATAAATTTTACTTATTATAATGAAGATAATTTGAATTGCAATCTGCAACTCCCTGAACATTTTTAAAACAACAAATGTATTTAAACTAATGCCTGTGGCAATCTCTATTTATTCTTTGTGAGCATACACTTGCCATAACTCAAAACTGGGCTGAGCTTTAATTTAAATGTAACAAGGCAGAATACCAGTACAGCGGCTTTCAACAAAATGGCTGAAACTGGCTTCAGCATGATTTGCCTGGAAGGGAAGATGAAAGTGTGTTTTAAAGGAGAAAAAAATATCCTGACCAAAACCAGACATTCTAAACAACCACCACCGATACCCAGTGCTCCTCTCCTCCCCCATCTCTATCAGCTGCTAGGCTTTCAGCACTGTTTTTCGCCAGACACTAGCACAGTGTTTTCCTTCACAGTCAGCCATCAGCCAGAGCTGTCACTTGCAGATACTTCATTTTTGTTTCAGTCTAATTCATACTGCACCCCCTTAATCTCTGTAGTGAGTAATGCCATGTCACTGTGAAGATATGTCAGATCCAGCATTCGAAATACAGAGTGTTTCTAACAGTTAAACTATCTTGGTTTGAAGAAATATTTTATTTCTTCCTCCAACTTAACCGATGTTTTTCTCCTGAACATCTTCCAAGCTGACCTCCAAAGGAGCAGTCACCGTTCTGCAATCAGGCTCAGCTTTCATGGGGTGGGGGGTGAAGACAAGCTTCAGCCCTGTATTACTAAATGCAAATAATCAATATGTTGATTGAGCTTTTGGCTACCAGAGTTCTTTTGATGGGGGTGACAGTGAGCATGACTTGCCTCATTCAATGACAAGCCTGTTTAGACTTTTTTCTACCTACCACTTTGTGAATCAGGCAACTGAAAATACCCACAGCAATTCCTCCAAACTGTCAGCTATTGCTGTGATTCCACCCAGCACCCCCTGTACAAGACAACAGATTAACCATTAGGCTAGATATGTTGAAAATATACAGCTTCAACCTTTCCTCAGCTAGCTCAGAGCGATGTATAGATGATTATTTCAACCGTCAGCTGCCGCATAGACTTAAACCCCTGCACAATAACTCCTGGATTCATCTGCCCCTTGTCAAACTTGCACAGCTTTAGTTTGAGCATACATAGTGTGGCAGTTTCACTGCGGATCTAGAATAATCCAGACGGCTGCTGTCTCTTTGTTAACAGGAAGCTAAACTGATGAGTTTGTAATGCATTTCTTATCAAAGGTAGTTTCAAAAAAGAAAATGTGCCAAATCAGTTGGGGTTGGAATTTAGCATAGTATTGAAACATGATTTAATCAAAACATTTGTTATTTGTTAGTGAAAAAAACCCACCCCACACTATTCATCCTCTAAAAATCATTTTATGCCAATGAACTATTTATTTAACAAATTTACTTGATTTTTTTGGTGGTAACAGATGTAATGAAATAAATGACTAGAAACTACAATATAATGGTGCTTGATGAGATACAAGAACAT